ACACCGACCAATAAATCAAAGCAATAGGACAGGGCCAGTGACTCAGACTGAATGGAAGGAAGGACATAAGCTGGGCTGCTGATGACAGAGCTAGACCTACAGAGGCTCATCCACGTTTCCTGAAAGAGGAGGTACCACCCCAATGATGGGACATGCCTGGAAGATGTGACGCTAACAAATACGACCAAGATGAGAGACACCTCCCAAAACAGTGAGTTCTACTTAGCTACTAACCATGAGAGACACCTCCCAAAACAGTGAGTTCTACTTAGCTGCTAACCCTGAGAGACAGTTACAGTCCATAGAAGTTGAAAGACAGGCTCTTACCATTCACCCTCCTTTACAAGGGGCCTTGCGCCTTTTCGCATTCAGTATTTTGTTATTCAGTAGTTTGCCATTCAGTATTTTACATTTACATTTTAGTCATTTAGCAGATGCTCTTATGCAGAGTGCCTTGCTCAAGGGCACGTCGACAGATTTTTCACCTAGTCGGCTCAGCGATTCGAACCAGCGAACTTACGGTTACTGGCACAACGCTCTTAACCCTAAGGCTACCTGCCGCCCCCTTTGAGTTCAAAGGGTCCATTGGTCCTTCATAACATTACTATGCGGGTTCCTTGCTTTCAAGGCTTATCTTTTGTGTTTATTGTGTTTCCTTGTTTTGTGTTTATGACCGGGAAAACCAAGATAGTGTATCTGAGCTTCAAAGGACACACTTGGTGTACAGTATATATAAGGTTTTCACTAGATAGATAGGAGTGCACAATGACAATGTTGGGCATGTTTTGACACATGGCCCTCGACAGCATGTGTGTGGTATCCTATTTATCAGCATACATGTGCTGTCTGTTATGTATGTGTATCCAGTGTGTAGGTGATACTGTACAATACACTGTTTATTTAGGCAGTTACTTAGTTACTCTGTGCGTTGCTAGCAAATGGCAAATCTATTTTTCCTAGTATAGAGTGAATACATTTACATTTTAGTCATTTAGCAGACACTCTTATCCAGAGCAACTTACAGTTAGTGGATGCATACATGTATTTTTTTGTTGTTCTTTCTTTTTCCATTTTTTTTTTCATACTGGCCTCCCGTGGGAAACGAACCCACATCCCTGCCGGCCAAACCCTCCCCTACCTTGGACGACGCTGGACCAATTGTGCGCCGCCCATGGGTCTCCCAGTCGCGGCCAGCTGCGACAGAGCCTGGACTCCAACCAGGATCTCTAGTGGCACAGCTAGCACTGCGATGCAGTGCCTTAGACCACTGCGCCAAATACATCATTTATGTTGTGTTTACTTGCACGATGCTGAAATTGTGACATCATGTAAATGTCCCTTACCTAGTCCCAGTCGGCTGGGAGAGGAATCTCTTCTGCAGCCCTGGCTGCAGGGGACCTTGCTCCTCTTGTCTACAGGGGTGCTGGAGGCTGAGGGGGGCCTGCTGATCCTCCCGTACCCAGACGAGTGGCCCAGCAGCTTCCCAGGGGAACTGGAGCGACTGCCAGGCTGGGACTGGGATATTAATAGATGTTTCATTTTATTTAATGTTCTGTTAAACATTGGTTGAAACGTACTTGCAAGACATGGAACCAGCTCTTTCAGGTCTCTGTTGATCATCACACACCTAAATCAAAACATCAATATCAGTGTCTCTTTTTAAAAAGCACAATCACCTTCATATTGGTCACATATGCACAGGGCAAGTTCCAGGCGTAAGTGACATAAGCCACTAGGAGGCCCCGACTCCCCCCAAAATAATATACAGTATATATTTTTGTACTTTTAACACTTTGATCACACCTATAGTGTCATTGCGCTAAATAGTATGCAGCATCATCTGGATATGTGAGCAACAAAAGTTCAACTTTCAGCTACCATTTCCATCAAGCCGTCTACGCATACAATGTGATACATACGTTAGATAAATCCAACGCATGTACCACCACACAGTACACACTGCAACTGCCTCTGCAACGCAATGCTGCAAGGCAAACGCAGCGTTCCATTGGAAATGAATGTACTTCTGGTGTACCAAAACTCAATGACGCTGTTGGTGTGATCGAGGTGTTAGGTACTCAGTCAGGGTCTCAACTTACTATTGAGAGTAAGTATAGTAGAATAGGTGCAATTTCGAAATTTGGTTGTGCATCAACAGTTTTTCTCTTGTTATGTCAGTCACTGTCACGTCAGCTAACAATGTTTTAATTGGTAGTAGTTAGTCTACCCAGCCATCTAAACTTAAGTAATCATTGCCGAATACCGATCGGGCACGGAGGTCATGTGCCCAGGGGCCCTGACCTCCAGTGGGCCCCCATTGATTTTGTTAGTCACTCTCACTCAGATATCATATTAACATGGCATAAGTAATTATACAATGTGTAGAATTGCAGGAAATTTGCTTTAAAATTGCAAAGATCTCTCCGCCCCATGGCAAAATGTGTAGAATTGCAGGAAATTAACTGAAACTAAAATGTTCCTCTCCACCGTCAAGAGGGGAGCACTAAAAACATTTTCCGCGAGGTTGTGCCCAGGGGCCCCCCAACCAAATCTCACTTCTAAAGCCCCTAAAAGGCTAGAGCCATTTACCTTGGTGAAAATCCTGGGGAGCCTGTTGGATCTTCTGCAAGCACATCTGTTGTCTCCTCACTTACAATGAGGTAAGCAACAAAAATTCCACGGCCATTCTGATGCTGAATGATTAATGATGCACAAAATGTAAGGTTAGTTATAAGGTTAGCAGTGTGGTTAAGGTTAGGGTACGGTTTAAAATCTAATTTTAAGAAGATAAATTGTAAAATGGGCGGGGTTTATGACTTTGTGGCTGTGGTAACTAGTGACAACCCCTCGCGTTAAGGGTTGTGTAACTGGAGGGAGTATACAGAGATATTGGAGAAAGTAAAACTAAATGCATGCTTTTCAATCGAACGCTGCTGGCACCCGCCCACCCGACTAGAATCACCACTCTTGACGGGTCTGACCTAGAGTATGTGGACAACTACAAATACCTAGGTGTCTGGTTAGACTGTAAACTCTCCTTCCAGACTCACATAAAGAATCTCCAATCCAAAGTTAAATCTAGAATCGGCTTCCTATTCCGCAACAAAGCCTCCTTCACTCATGCTGCCAAACATGCCCTCGTAAAACTGACTATCCTACCGATCCTTGACTTCGGCGATGTCATTTACAAAATAGCCTCCAACACTCTACTCAGCAAATTGGATGTAGTCTATCACAGTGCCATCCGTTTTGTCTCCAAAGCCCCATACGCTACCCACCACTGTGACCTGTACGCTCTTGTTGGCTGGTCCTCACTACATGTTCGTCGTCAAACCCACTGGCTCCAGGCCATCTATAAATCACTGCTAGGCAAATCCCCGCCTTATCTTAGCTCATTGGTCACCATAGCAGCACCCACCCGTAGTCTGCGCTCCATCAGGTATATCTCACTGGTCATTCCCAAAGCCAACACCTCCTTTGGCCGCCATTCCTTCCAGTTCTCTGCTGCCAATGACTGGAACGAATTGCAAAAATCTCTGAAGCTGGAGACTCTTATCTCCCTCACTAACTTTAAGCATCAGTTGTCAGAGCACCTTACCGATCACTGCACCTGTACACAGCCCATCTGAAATTAGCCCACCCAACTACCTCATCCCCATATTGTTATTTATTTTGCTCTTTTGCACCCCAGTATCTCTATTTGCACATAATCTCTTGCACATCTAGCATTCCAGTGTTAATACTATTGTAATTATTTTGCACTATAGCCTATTTATTGCCTTACCTCCATAACTTGCTACATTTGCACACACTGTATATATATTTTTCTGTTGTATTTTTGACTTTATGTTTTTTACCCTATATGTAACTCTGTGTTGTTGTTTTTATCGCACTGCTTTGCTTTATCTTGGCCAGGTCGCAGTTGTAAATGAGAACTTGTTCTCAACTGGCTTACCTGGTTAAATAAAGGTGAAATAAAATAAAATAAATTAAAAAAAGGAGGAGATAGGAATCCCGTCGGCCAATAAATAGAGGAACGTAACGCCTCACCCAGCAGACGGTCGACCAATCGCGTTCACGTTGTTGTGCTGCGTCACGCGGTTGCTAAACTAATCGTTACGCCATCCCTTCTCAAAGTCAGGGTATGAGTCGAGAAACCTGCCTATTTGCCTCGAAAGCACGCAATATCACGATTCCAAAACTATACGATATTACAGATAACAACTTAATGATCTCACATATTGGAAAATATCTGTAATATTGTTCTTCTTGTTGACAAATTTCATGCTAATATGGGTTTTTGAGCTAGCAGCCAATTGACCTTGTCACAGAATCGCCTAGAATGCACAGCGCGGCACATTAACGAGGCATGGGCAACGTACCCAATGGGCGTTATTACGATTCCAATGGAGTTTCCCGTCTCCTCAAAAGTATCTCTGCTCATGGGCACAAAGGCTACATTTGCCAACTGGTTAGACATGATTACACCAAATATTTTCTACTCTTTAATTTAGTTTACCCACTGACTACCGCATTTCATATTATGGAACATTTTCTTATTCAAAATTCAACTAATTGACACATTGTTTAATGAAAACTTGGTGCAAGTAATGGGCTGTGTCGAGTTATAAATATATGGATTTTAAACACTTCGAACACATTCGATTTTGACACTTCGAATGTCAAAATCGCAATGATTGTATTGAGCAATACCAATGGTCATGTGAAAGCGCCACCAAGTTCTTCCACCAAGTTTTCAATATATACGATGTGTAAATTCTATAGTGGAATTTTGAATGTAAAAAAAATAATCCATATGCTCCCGCCACACCAGCGGCACGAGCTAGGTAAACGGACGGCTCTGTAGAGCATCTGTTTGACGTTACGCATTCAAGAAGGCTCAACTAATTGTTTTTTCAACTCTCATTGTTCTATCTGTGGCTCAACCAGTAACCCGATGGGTTCTACGTCGAAAACATGAATATTCATGTATTGCCCCTCCCCCCTCTACTACAGAAGGAAATTTCGCCCACCGTTCATGGCCGTTCATGTGAACAGACGTGTGCACCGTACAGTAGCTAACTAAAAGAAGAATATTCCGAAAACATGGCACAATCAGGCAAAGTAAGAATGACATCTAAAATCTACTTATGTTTTAGGTGAAATGGTTTACAGCAGTTGGTCTCACACGGCTACAAGTGAAATGACAACATGGTTGAACTCGCTAGCTAGCTAACGTTAGCAAATTAGCTAACTACTGTAGCAATTAGTTGAAATACACTTCTGTGGGCATGGAATGTTTAGCTAGTTAACTAGCTACTTTGTATCACTGTTGTTCACTTGAAACACGTGCTGAACGTTGTGAGTTACAATTGATCTATTTCGAATACTCATTGGGCGGATTCGATTATGCTGAGACTCGGCACACCGGGCAGAGATAGGCCCTTCACGTCATCGGGCGAAAACAAGCAGTAATCTGCGACGCTTGGTCATTTTGTCAACAAGACAGCATGGTACATTGTCCAGAAACATACAACGTCTCTTTTCCATAAAATAAGTTAGAATTTTCTAAACAGCTTTGATTGGGAAGGCAGATAAAACGTTTATCAAAAGCAATCCCTTTTGCATGGGAAACACAGAATCCCACTAATATAATGTAATGGCGCCTTTTTGTAGGCACTAACTCCACCATGGTTCGTTGGACAAAGCCTATGAGGAAAATGAATTTGGGTTTGGATAAACGCCGAAAATAAGGTCTGTGGTAAAAACAGGTCTAGGAGATCCTATATGTTTTGTTCTATAAGATCATCTTCATCAACTAACGTCACTTTTTGTGAATTTTGAAGAATTTATGTAATAATAAAACACATAAGTCACAAAGGCTTCATAATTCATAAAGGTCCTGTTAACCCGACTGCTATCTCATAGACATTTTTTATGAGATTTCCTAAACCTGTGTTAAGAGCAGACCTTATTTTCGGCGTTTATTCCATAACCCTATTCCTTCCCCATTCATTTTTCACATAGGGATGGCTGAACGAACCAGAGGTAACCTATTTCCGGGTTTTAGGAATACAGGCTGGCGAGCTCTATTACTACTGCAATCAACTTTAAACCCGGGCGGGATTAATCGAACCCTCCCCCAGTTGTCTGTTTGTGATTGGTTGGTGGTGATGGGTTAAAGAACACCAGCTGAAATGCTCATCCCAAAGGTTGTTTTATAGGCAATCCCATCAAGGACATCAACTACACAGAAAGTTGGAGAGATTGGTGATGACAAAGAGGATAAAAATAATTCTGGTAAGTGGTTCCCAACTATATTGTCCTTAATAGCCTGTGCAATATTTAATGCAAATTATATTGAGAAAGTGACTTTTAATGAGTCCTTGATACATCATGGTAACTTTCAGAAGGCCAGACTGATTCTCCAGCATCAACAGAGGAGGTAGCTGCCCCAACTCCACAGGTCATCGTGGTAGATGCCCCTACTCCACAGGTAATCTTTTCCACAGAACCTGATGCCAATGAGGATGGAGATGGAGACAAAGTAGCTCCTATTGAAGATGATGTTACAGAGGACAAGGAGGTCAAAGATGTCCCAGGTAAAGACAATGCTTTGAGGGGTGGCAAGCATAGACCATATATTTAGTGTGTGTGACATCAAGTCCCAGCATGTAATTGGAATAGTGATAATGTTCATATGACATTTCTTAAAAGCAAAACATTTGCTGTCCCCTTAAATTCAGTAGGTATTTCCTTTGTTAATGAATATTGTTTATGTAGATTGTGAAGGGGAGCAGATGGATACAACTCCTGCCCCTGCTGCTGAGGAGGAAACGGTTAAGGTCACATTTGAGTCAGAAAATGCAGTCGAAGATGCCAATAATGTTGACGAGAAGACCAATGGAAATGACCAGGGTGAGGGCAAAGAACAACAGAATTGTAATGCATATTTGCCAGGGGTGTATTCACTCCGAAGCAAACAGAACCAAACGGGAAGGGACCTATCTTAATTTATCCAATAAAAACTCATTTTTGTTGCCAAATGCAACTGTTAGGACTAATTATTACACACACCCCAGATGTCACTCATTTATGTTTTTCCATCAGGGTATGTATGGAATAGTGTTTAATACATGTGTCTGCATTTCTTTCTCCAGCTGTTGCAGTAGCCCCAGTAAAAAGGAAAGCAGAGGATGAGACTTCTCCAGCGAAGAAAACAAAGGGCATTAATGATGGTACGATTGTGAGCAAGAGTTAAAATCACTCCCTCTGTTTGAGTGCTTGATTGATGGTGTCAGTGAGCTAACGTGCACCTTCGTGTTTCTTTTTCTTTTTGAGGTTTTTGTCTTTTTGTTGGAAACTTGAACACAACCAAGGAAGTGGAGGAACTCAATGATGCCTTGGCCAACTTTTTTACATCGCATAGTCTGTTATTTCAGGCTATTAGAGTGGACATAACAAAGTGAGTACCTGGCATTTTTATGCACTGCATAAACTTAACCTCTTCAAATGTTTGCAGATTTCCTCATGATACAGATTATTCCCCATTTCATGGCAAAGGATTTGTATAAGTATATTAACATAATGTCACATTTTTTTGGGGTGTGCATTCTATAGGAAGTTCGCATATGTAGACTTTCATACAGAGGAAGACTTGATGAAAGCCCTTGAGCTGGATAGGGTGAAGATCCTAGACCAAAAGATAAGGTTAGGCAAGGCTAATGTCAAAGACGTCACAGCAGATGAAAAAAAAGGTACTTGTCATCTTGAGTGAGTTTTCCATGCCATTGATATATTAGACATTTCTAGAATTGATTGATTTCCATGTACTGACAGGAGTCTCTTCCCCCCCCCCACACACACACACACAGCTAAAGATGCCAAGACCTTGTACGTCAAGAATATCCCATTCGCAGCAACAAAGGAGGACTTGAAGAAAGTCTTTGACACGGCTGTCGAAATCAGGTTTCCTAGAGGCATTGGTAGACCAAGCAAAGGGTGAGAGTTGACATCCAAAGTGTCCAGTTGATATCAATGCTTGATTTACGTGAAAATGCAAGGTATGTGTGTATCCCAAGATTCAGCTCTTAACACTTGGCATCTATTTAATTGTGACAGAATTGCCTACATAGAGTTCAAAACGGAGGCCATTGCTGAGAAAGTGCTGGAGGAGAAGCAGGGGACTGATGTCCAAGGCCGTGTCATCGTTATTGACTTTTTGGGAGAAAAGAGCCAACAACAAAAAATGACCAATGCTCCAGGTAAGGATGGACTGAAATGAAGTCACTGGGAATTATATTACTGTAGAAGCACAAGGTACTTGAATAGATATATGGCTAGTCATGTTGCTGCTCATTAGCATCTTCGAGATGAAAGACTGATTACAAAGTGTATTAATTCACTGATTAGCTAACATGTTCTCAAATGTTCTGTTCCATAGCTGAGGCCACACCAAATAACGAATTATTGGTGACCAACCTGGCTTACACTGCAAAAGAGGATGCCCTAAAGAAAGTCTTTCTCAAAGCAGTCAGTGTCAGAATACCTCAGAGCAATGGCAAACCAAGAGGGTAAGGGTGCACATTGATGCTGCACCTGCTTTGTTGAGCTCTACTGAACATTTTGAACACCATCAAATAGATCATTATAAACATTTGATTATGATTAATTTGAGTCATTTCATGTTCAGAATGCACATGGAAATGGTAACTTAAGACATTTATGTTAATTTGCTTTTTCCCTCTTTTAAGTCATGCCTTCATTCAGTTTGAAAGTGTGGAGGATGCCAAAGAAGCCATGGAATCATCGTTAAACAAAGAGATTTGTGGAAGAGCCATCGGCGTGAAGTTCAGCCAGAAGAGGCCAGAAGGGGACCAAGGGAACTCGGGTGAATATTACTTTTAGACTTACCCAATGAATGTCTCATAGCAGAAAATTGGTTGGTGAATCATTTAAGTTGTTTGACTGTGCCATCATTCATACCTATGTATTTTGTGTTCTCTTGTAGTTCCTTCAAAGACGTTGATGGTCAGGAATCTTGCCAAGGAGACGAGTGAGGAGACTTTGAAAAGCTCCTTTGAAGGTGCCATTGAAGCTCGAGTCACCAAAGACAAGGAGACTGGTGAATCTAGAGGGTATGTCTCGAAATATGACCCTTTTGAAACCACATTGTTATTACATTCAGACAGTCCTTTGAATACTCATTCTTGGCACTTCTCAGGTTTGGCTTTGTGGACTTTGAGAGCATAGAGGTCTGCAAGGCTGTCAAGGAGGCTGTGGTGGACCTTCAGATTGACGGGAGCAAGGTGACCCTGATCTATGCCACACCCCAGGGTGAACGAGGACCTCGTGGAGAAGGAACAGGCTTCAACAGGAGCTTCAGAGGGAAACCTGGAGGTCGAGGTGGCGCTAGAGGCAGGGGTAGGGGTGGAGGCTTCAGGGGTGGACGAGGAGGTGAGATCTAGGTTGAATTGAATTTGGAAAAGTAATGAGGACATGTCAGTTGATACTTCAAATCAAATTTAATTTGTCACATGCTTCGTAACAACCGGTGAAATGCTTTCTTACAGGTCCTTTTCCAACAATGTATAATAATAATATAATATGCCATTTAGCAGACGCTTTTATCCAAAACGACTTACAGTCATGTGTGCATACATTTTTACGTATGGGTGGTTCCGGAGATCGAACCCACTACCCTGGCGTTACAAGCGCCATACTCTACCAATTGAGCTACAGAGGACCATAAAAACATAAAGTTAAACATAAAAAAGATCAAATAGAAATAGTGACGCGGAATAAATACACAGCGGATAACAATAACAAGTAAAAAATAACATGGCTATATACAGGGAGTACCAGTAGTACCGAGTCGATGTGCAGGGGTATGAGGTATTTTTTTTTTATTATGCACTCTAACTCTAAGTCGCTCTGGATAAGAGCGTCTGCTAAATGACAAACATTTAATTGAAGTAGCTACAGTGCATTCAGAAAGTATTCAGACCCCTTGACTTTTTCCACATTTTGTTACGTTAGTCTTATTCTAAAATGGATAAAATTGTTTTTTTCCCCTCATCAATCTACACACAATAACAAAGCAAAAACAGGTTTTTAGAAAATTTTGCAAATGTATTAAAAATAAAAAACCTCCCGAGTGGCGCAGCGGTCTAAGGCACTGCATCGCAGAGGCGTCACTACAGACCCGGTGTTTGATCCCAGGCTGTGTCACAGCTGGCCGTGACCGGGAGACCCATTAGGCGACGCACAATTGGCCCAACGCCGTCCAGGTTTGGCCGGCCAGGATTTCCTTGTCCCATCGCGCTCTAGCGACTACTTGTGGTGGGCCGGGCGCCTGCAAGCTGACTTCGGTCGCCAGCTGGATGGTATTTCCTCCAACACATTGGTGCAGCTGTCTTCCGGGTTAAGCTAGCAGTGTTTCAAGAAGCAGTGCGATTACAGCCTCGAGTCTTCTTGGGGATGACGCTACAAGGTTGGCACACTTGTATTTGGGGAGTTTCTCCCATTCTTCTCTGCAGATCCTCTCAAGCTCTGTCAGGTTGGATGGGGAGTGTCGCTGCACAGCTATTTTCAGGTCTCTCCAGAGATGTTTGATCAGGTTCAAGTCCGGGCTCTGGCTGGACCACTCACAGACATTCTGAGACTTGTCCCGAAGCCTGCTTTGTCTTGGCTGTGTGCTTAGGCTCGTTGTCCTGTTGGAAGGTCAACCTTCACCCCAGTCTGAGGTCCTGAGCGCTCTGGAGCAGGTTTTCGTCAAGGATCTCTCTGTACTTTGCGCCGTTCATCTTTCCCTCGATCCTGACTAGTCTCCCAGTCCCTGCCGCTGAAAAACATCCCCACAGTATGATGATGCTGCTGCCACCATGCTTCACCGTCGGGATAGTGCCAGGTTTCCTCCAGACGTGAAGATTTGCATTCATGCCAAAGAGTTCAATCTTGGTTTCATCAGACCAGAGAATCTTGTTTCTCATGTAATGAGAGTCGTTTATGTGCCTTTTGGCAAACTCCAAGCGGGCTGTCATGTGTCTTTTAGTGAGGAGTGGCTTCCGTCTGGCCACTCTACCATAAAGGCCTGATTGGTGGAGTGCTTCAGAGATGGTGTCCTTCTGGAAGGTTCTCCCATCTCCACAGAGGACCTCTGGAGCTCTGTCAGAGTGACCATCGGGTTCTTGGTCACCTCCCTGACCAAGGCCCTTCTCCCCCAATTGCTCTGTTTGGCCGGGCGGCCAGCTCTAGGAAGAGTCTTGGTGGTTCCAAACTTCTTCCATTTAAGAATGATGGAGGCCAATGTGTTCTTGGGGACCTTCAATGCTGCAGACATTTTTTGGTACCCTTCCCCAGATCTGTGTCTCGACACAATCCTGTCTCGGAGCTCTACAGACAATTCCTTCTACCTCGTGGCTGTGGGACCTTATATAGACAGGCGTGTGCCTTTCCAAATCATGTCCAATCAATTGAATTTACAACAGGTGGACGCCAATCAAGTTGTAGAAACATCAAGGATGATCAATGGAAATAGGTTGCACCTGAGCTCAATTTCGAGTCTCATAGCAAAGGATCTGAATACGTATGTAAATAAGGTATGTTTTTTTATATTTTTAATACATTTGCAAAAAATTCTAAACCTGTTTTCGCTTTGTCATTATGGGGTATTGTGTGTAGATTGATGAGGAAACTATTTTATTTAATCCATTTAGAATAAGGCTGTAACGTAACAAAAAGGGGAAATGGTCTGAACACTTTCCGAATGCACTGTATGTACAGTCGTGGTCAAAAGTTTTGAGAATGACACAGGTATTGGTCCTTACAAAGTTTGCTGCTTCAGTGTTTTTAGATATTTTTGTCAGATGTTACTAAGCTATACTGAAGTATAATGACAAACATTCCATAAGTGTCAAAGGCTTTTATTGACAATTACATTAAGTTTATGCAAAGAGTCAATATTTGCAGTGTTGACCCTTCTTTTTCAAGACCTCTGCAATCCACCCTGGCATGCTTTCAATTAACTTCTGGGCCACATCCTGACTGATGGCAGCCTATTCTTGCATAATCAATGCTTGGAGTTTGTCAGAATTTGTGGGTTTTTGTTTGTCTACCCGCCTCTTGAGGATTGACCACAAATTCTCAATGGGATTAAATGGGATTAAGGTCTGGGGAGTTTCCTGGCCATGGACCCAAAATGTCGATGTTTTGTTCCCCGAGCCACTTAGTTATCACTTTTGCCATATGGCAAGGTGCTCCATCATGCTGGAAAAGGCATTGTTCGTCACCAAACTGTTCTTGGATGGTTGGGAGAAGTTGCTCTCGGAGGATGTGTTGGTACCATTCTTTATTCATGGCTGTGTTCTTAGGCAAAATTGTGAGTGATCCCACTCCCTTGGCTGAGAAGCAACCCCACACATGAATGGTCTCAGGATGCTTTACTGTTGGCATGACACAGGACTGATGGTAGCGCTCACCTTGTCTTCTCCGGACAAGCTTTTTTCCGGATGCCCCAAACAATCGGAAAGGGGATTCATCAGAGAAAATGACTTTACCCCAGTCCTCAGCAGTCCAATCCCTGTACCTTTTGCAGAATATCAGTCTGTCTCTGATGTTTTTCCTGGAGAGAAGTGGCTTCCTCGCTGCCCTTCTTGACACCAGGCCATCCTCCAAAAGTCTTTGCCTCACTGTGCGTGCAGATGCACTCACACCTGCCTGCTGCCATTCCTGAGCAAGCTCTGCACTGGTGATGCCCCGATCCCGCAGCTGAATCAACTTTAGGAGACGGTCCTGGCGCTTGCTGGACTTTCTTGGGCGCCCTGATGGCTTCTTCACAACAATTGAACCTCTCTCCTTGAAGTTCTTGATGATCCGATAAATGGTTGATTTAGGTGCAATCTTACTAGTAGCAATATCCTTGCCTGTGAAGCCCTTTTTGTGCAAAGCAATGATGACGGCACGTGTTTCCTTGAAGGTAACCATGGTTAACAGAGGAAGAACAATGATTTCAAGCACCACCCTCCTTTTAAAGCTTCAAGTCTGTTATTCTAACTCAATCAGCATGACAGAGTGATCTCCAGCCTTGTCCTCGTCAACACTCTCTCACCTGTGTTAACGAGAGAATCACTGACATGATGTCAGCTTGTCCTTTTGTGGCAGGGCTGAAATGCAGTAGAAATGTTTTTGGGGGATTAAGTTCATTTTCATGGCAAAGAGGGACTTTGCAATTAATTGCAATTCATCTGATCACTCTTCATAACATTCTGGAGTATATGCAAATTGCCATCATAAAAACTGAGGCAGCAGACTTTGAAAATTAATATTTGTGTAATTCTGAAAACTTTTGACCACGACTGTACATATACTGTAGGTAGGAGTAAAGTGACTAGGCGACAGGATAGATAATGAACAGTAGCAGCAGCGTTTGTGGGGAGTGTGAAAGTGTGTGTGTGGCGTCAGTGTGTGTGTGGGCTTATGTTGTGTGGGCGTGTCAGTATAATTATCTGTGAGTGTTTGAGTCCAGTGTGTGTGCGTAGTCGGTGCAAGAGAGCTAGTTAAAAAAAGGGTAAATGCAGGTAGTCCGGGTAGCTATTTAGCAGCCTTGTTTAGCACTCTTATGGCTTGGGGGTAGAAGCTGTTCAGGGTCCTGTTGGTTCCAGACTTGGTGCAGTGGTACTGCTTGCCGTGCAGTAGCAGAAAGAACAGTCTATGGCTTGGGTGGCTGGAGTGTTTGACAATTTTTAGGGCCTTCCTCTGACACTGCCTGGTATAGAGGTCCTGGATGCCAGGGAGCTCGGCCCCAGTGATGTACTGGGCTGTACGCACTACCCGCTGTAGCGCCTTGCGGTCGTGTTTCTTGCAGTTGCCGTACTAAGCAGTGTTGCGGCCAGTCAACACGCTCTCAATGGTTCAGCCGTATAACTTTGAGGATCCGAGTGCACATGCAAAATCTCTTCACAACTGTGTGGGTGTGTGTGTACTTCACACTTGATGTTTTTTTTTATATAGTTCTAGTGCCTGAAATGTCTCTTTACTCTACTTCTATCTACCAACAATTCTATCAGCTTTGTAAGATGGTGTCGTTTGTTGTTGTTTTTCAGGCAGAGGTGGCGGTGGCGGAAGAAGGACTTAAAACAGCAAATATCGTTTTTTTTTACAATGGACTGCTGCAACTGGGCTCTAATTCAACATCTGAATTAACTGACAAGCTTGTAATGGGCTTCTAGCCCTAATATTTTCAATAAAACAAACTCATTTGTTCGTAGTGTAAATGATTTATGTAAAAAGATTCTACCACGTTCATACATAACGATGAAATGTCTTAGACACATTGTACTGTATGTGTAACATTTTTGTTTGGTTTTGTCTGTTTTCCTTTTTCCTTTAGTTTACCTTTTTAATTGTTAATTTCTTGTTTATGCAAATACTATATTGAAGACTGGGTAATTAAAAGGTCCCCAAATTTAATGTGGATTTTCTGATTTTTCTTTTTCTAAATTCTTTATTTTGTGAGTCTTTTAGAGGGACCTTGCATCTTTTTTTATGTTTCAGATACAATCTCTTGCAACAAAAATATATAGAATGATACAGAGGAGTAAAATCCAGACCAGAAGATATGACTTGGGCAGGGTGGGATATACTCACTATGTCCCATCTTATG